TATGTGAACTGCTGTATGAAAAGTGAATTTACTCTGTAAATCTTCACCCAAATCCTAAAAAAAAAAAAAAGAGTAACAACTTTTATTGAACGCTATGACCTAGACCTGTAATAAGCTCGGTACGTCCATTAAATCCTCACAACTTCTTGAAGGGTCTGCAGTTCTCCCACTTTACAGATGGGAAGACTGAGGCTTTGAAAGGCTCCTACAGGCATCAGGATTCCAATCACGGCCCGACCCCGCACTCACCCGGCCTCCCGGATGCGACGAAGTACAGTTGTACTGTCCGCTTCTGGATCTGCCTCCCGGCTCCGGGCTGCTGCTTCTCTCCGCCCCGGCCGCCGCGGAGCCGAGCGCCTTTTCCGTGGGGTTGCCGCCTGCCAGGGATCCACTGCTGCTGCCGCCGCCGCCATTGACCTCAAACGTCATCGGCGCGTGGAGCGCTCGGCCAACGTCATCGTCGCGCGCCGCCTGGGTTGGAGCTGCAGTCGCCGCGGTGCGAGCAGGTACTGGATCGTGGGCGCCGGCTCCCCACCACTGCCCATACCTTGAGTCGCGAATCCCGAACCACCGGCTGCCTGGGTGCTCTCGCGGACGGGCGGTGCCCGGCGGCGCGGAGACACTGAGGGGCGGATACTCCGGCCAGTTGTCCCTCCTGGCAGCCCTTTGGCGACGTGACCGTGCCCCACTTCACCTTCGGGTCTTTGCCCATCTCCTCTTAGCCTCCTGGAGCTCAGGTCAGACACTTCCCAGTGGCCTCGGGTGGCTCCTGGTTGCTTCCTGGCGGCCGGTGGCTGTGTCTGGCCGCTTCCTGGCCCCTCGCCGCCTTTGGCGCCCCCTTTCCAACTCCGCTGACCTATTAAGGCCGCTTTCTACAGCCGCCCTTCTCCGAAGCTTTGCCACCACTTCTTTACTCCTTCCGGTCGTTCCTGTCACTTCCCAGGCTGCCAGAGTCACTTCTGATCACATCCCGACACCTGCTCCTACTCCAAGCTATTACTGGCTGCTTTTGGACCTTTGAGAAATAAGACAACGGATCTTGGTAATGGAGGCCCAAGTAATCTGGGAACAACGCCTAAGGGAGGAGGGCCTGTCCCAAGGTATTTAGAGCTGAGAAAAGATGGAATTCTAGAGGCTGCTGTCCCAAGATTCAGCAAGGTCTCCTCTAAGTCCTTTTCCCACCCAAAGAGCTTTAACAAATTGTACTGTGTTCCCACAGGGGTGACCCAGTGGTGAGGAGGGTGACCAGGTGGTGTGCATACACTTGAGATGGTGTTGCTGGGAATGTTCACCTTAGAACAGATCAACTGTATTCCTATTGCCCCTCTCTAAGGACAGTGACCAGAGAGTTGTCATGGGGAAGGATTGTTCAGTGTTTTCCTGGAAGGTGTTACACAGACCAGTGAGTGGAGTTTACTAAGAGGTCCGTTGTAGTTTCAGCAGCAAAAGGAGGACTCCCTGGACGGCACAAACGGTTAAGCCCTGGACCACTATCTGAAAGTGGTTTGAACTCCCAGGTTCCTCCGAAGAAAGGCCTGGTGATTTCACACCAAAAGACCACCCCTTTGGGAGGCCAGTTCTGCTCAGCACACATGAGGTTGCCCTGATTCGAATCGAGTCATTGGCAACTTTTTTGTTTTGTTTTGTTTTGGGCAGAAGAATAAATAACAGCCTAACAGCCTTGAACTGCCTATGTCTGGTGGGAGTAAAACAGAGTAATTTTTGGAGGAGGGTACAAAAGACGTCGATTAGGGTCCATGATGTGAAGGCCTCTTCTGATGCTGAAATTCCATGATACTCTCTGTTGTCATCCTCTTGTGGGAGTTTGAAAGCCACTTGATAAAGTTCTCTTTTTTGGTGTGTTTTGGAAGCTTGCCCAGCGGTGGAATTCTGCACGGTCAGATTACTTGTAGGCTGCCTCGGTGGCAGTTCCTTTATTTGGATCCCACTCTGGTAGCATAGTGCCTAAAGCACTTGACTGCTAACCAGAAGGCTGGCGGTTCAAACCCATCAGCCACTCCTCAGAAGGAAGATGGGGCAATCCTACTTCTGTAGTGATACTGCCTCGGAAACCCAAGGAGGGGTCACTATGAGTTGGGTCTGACTCGACGGTACATAACAACAACAACAACATTACTACAATAGGAGCTCCGGTGGTTAAGCAATTAGCTGCTAACCGAGAGGTCGGCGGTTCAAACCCACCATCCTCTCCCTGGGAGAAAGATAGGTAAAGATTTACAGCCTTGGAAACCCAATAGGGCAGTTCTGTTCTGTCCTGTGAGGTTGCTATGAGTCAGAATCAACTCAGTAGCCATGGGTTTGGGTTTTTTAGTTTGTTGCTTTGTTTCTGGTGTTACTGTAGCAGCCACATTATTTGTATTTAAAAAAAAAAAAATTGTTGGATGGATTCCCGCTCATGGAGACCCCATGAGTTACAGAGTATAACTGCGTCATAGGGTTTTCTTGTCTGTGATCTTAACACAAGCAGATTGTCAGACCTTTCTTCTAAGGCACCTCTGAGTGGATTCCAGTCACCAACCTTTGTTGTTGTTATTTGGATCGAGTCGGACCCAACTCATAGTGACCCCTCCTGGGTTTCCGAGGCAGTATCATTACAGAAGTAGATTGCCCAGCCTTCCTCCTGAGGAGTGGCTGGCACCAACCTTTAGATCAGTAAAAAAAAAAAAATACCAAGCTCACTGCCATCAAGTTGGTTTGACTCATAGCGACCCCTCCTTAGGTTTCCGAGGTTGTATCACTACAGAAGTAGATTGCCCAATCTTCCTTCCAAGGGGTGGCTGGTGGGTTTGAACCACCAGCCTCTGGTTAGCAGTCACATGACTTAGGCAGTATGCCACCAGAGCTCCTTTTAGGTCAGTAATCAAGCACAAACCAATTGTGCCACCCAGGGACCTTAAATAGCTGTTCTTAACACTTAGAGCTTTTCACACTAGTTACCCCATTTTATCACCTGTGAGGCCTGGGATATGTTCACCATAACTCTTCTAGAAATGAAGGGATTTATACTAACGTCCTCTGCCACCCTTCTTAATCCAGAAACACAGTTTTCAACTTTGTAGAAAGCCCTTTTGAAGTCTTCCATTTGCATAGCCATACTGGGTCACATGCTTTCTCATGGGTTTATGAAATAATCTATTCCTTGTGTTCAGGCCAGGGCCAACTCTCTGATGTTTGAACTGGAAGCTTCAAACTTTTCAAAGAAAACTTCAGAATGGCTTTGAATAGGACAAGCCCGAATTCCTTTTGGAACACCGCCTTCAGCATGCATCTGCCCCTTTGAGCTTTCCTGGAAGCAGCTTTCCAAAGAGTTTGTTCTACAGAGAGCCACACACAGGCCAATGCAAGCAGAGTAGGAGATCAGACTTTTCTGGTAGAGTTCTCTTGCTTTATTATATTGTCTCCCCGAGTTCTGAGAGGCATAGACATACGCTTGGAACCCACGGGCCGACGAGGAAGGGAAGTGACACTTTCATGCTGAGTGGAAACTAAACACATGGCAGTGGTGACTGAAAACGCTTAAACCTACCACATCCGGATGCATTAGATTTTGGGGAAACAGAACATCACTTCTGGAGAGAAAGGTGAGACCAAAAAAGAAAGCCCAGAGGAAGAGGATGAGGGCAACCGGACAGTAAATGGCCACCTCCGCCACGACACAGACGAAGTCGGCCTCTTGGTGAGTATCTAAGCCACTGCGTTTTGGCTCTCACCAGGCTGGAGAGTGAAACTCCTGGGTTGATGGAAAATCCCCGGCCAGATTGTTTTGGTTTTATTCAGAAAATGCTATCTTTCTCAGAGCAGCCAAGTGAAATGTGTGAGTGTTTTCTTTCCAAAGCTAGCCTGTTTTAGCCTCGCAAGCCTCTCACAGTGTTTGCTGTTAGATTGGAGCAAAGAAAACCCTAACGTGATCATTCTGCTGGCTTTGGTGATAATGTCAGCATTGTATTATTCCCGTTGGAGAGAGGGCTGCGGTTCCGAATTACACCATAAGAAGAGGTCTTGCCAGTCTGGCTCTTGAGGGGTGTTACACAGTGTGTTTGAAACTCCATCTTCTTCTCATTCCCACATGAGTTAATCCTTTCCTGTAATCCAGGGCAGCAAACATTAATTGAGGAGGTGAAATCAAGAGGCATGGCTTAAGTAAAATGAACAAGATTTAGTGACTGGTGGTTACGTTTGTGTGTCAACTTGTCTGGGCCTGGTTGAGTGGCTGGGTAGCTGGATGTAGTATTCCCCATGGTGAGACTGGTAATCAGCTCCATGGTGGGATCTACCACAAGCAGCTGAGTAGCTGCCTTTGCGATGTGGTCTGTTTCCTGTATATAAGGAGAAACTTTGAGAATGGTCTCTAGCCTATGGCACGCTTGGACCCTGCATGTAGCCATGTCATTGTTCAGCAGCCTGCCATGCTCTGCTGACCTTGGGACTTTCAATGGATTTGAATTAATGGCCTGCTGTGTGGTTTGGTAACATCAGGACTGTGCCTTTTTACTTGTCAACCTTGGGGCATCTCAGCCTCAGCAGGCAGCAGCTGTCTGAGTGAAGAAATGCCTCTAGCTCCAGTGGGCCGGGAGCAGGAGGCAGAGCTGGACCTCAAGGTTGAGGGGCTTTTACCCAGCCCCTAGAGCCTGGCACTTTGAACTTGGACTTAAAGCCTCCAAACTGTAAGAATAAACAGCTGTTCGTTGAGGCCATCCCATTTGTGGTATATATTCTTGTCAGAGCGGCGCTGGGGAACCAGAACAGTGACTGATTAACTGTGGAGGTCAGAAAGACACAGCAGTGATGCCCAGGTTTATTTCATGTGTCGGGAAGAGCAGGGGGCCTCGGTCAGAGGACGTGGGGGAAGGAGAAGTCGGGGCCCGGCTATGGGGTTTCTGAGTTGAGTTTGCCGGAATGATCTGGACTTGCCCTGCAAGCAGGTGCACATTGGGCCCTTTAACGTGGAAAGCAGACCATGGGAGCCAGAGGGGGTGGTGTAGCAGAGAGAGTGGACCGAGGAAGAAGAGGGCAGGAGTGGAGTGGTCATAGCCCTTCTTTCTTTGTATTACCCTGCTGAGTGTGCTTTCAGAGATAACCGAAGCCCAGGTCCAGCCTTTGAAGACTTGACTTTACAGTCTCAAAGAGGCCATCAAACCAAAAAACCAAACTCACTACCGTCGAGTCGTTTCTGACTCATAGTGACCCCTCCTTGGGTTTCTGAGGCGGTATCTCTATGGAAGTAGAATACCCAGTCTTCCTTCTGAGGAGTGGTTGGTGGGCTTGAACTGCCAGCCTTCTGGTTAGCAGTCAAGTGCTTTAGACTACGCCACTGGAGCTCCCAAAGAGGCCATCAGATGAGAATATTAAACAACTACAATTATACTACAGGGGAGACTGTAAAAGAGGCAGAATGGTGCACTGGTAGAATTCGTGCTTTCCACGTAGGAGACCCAGGTTCAGTTCCTGGCCATGCAACTCATTCACAGCCACTGTCTGTCTGTCAGTGGAGGCTGGAGTGTCGCTGTGATGCTGAACAGGTTTCCGTGGAGTTTCCCGACAAAGATGGGCTAAGGAGAAAGGCCTGGCAATCTGGTTCTGAAAATCAGCCAGTGAAACCACTGGGTCACATGGTCTGACTTGGGCAGAGGGCGTTCTGTCACGCATGGTGTGTTTCCATGAGTTGGGGGCCAACTGAATGGCCACTAACAACAGGCAACGACAGTCTTGGGAGGAACAGGGGATCATGGAAATTCAGAAGAAAGAATCGTCAGGCCAAGGGCATGGGGAAGGTTGCCGAGGGAGCTGTTTTTGAGACTTTACTAAAGGCCTGGGAAGATTTTGACAGGCAGGTGTTTCTCTGTGAACTCACTCCCCTAGGCCCCTGGTTTCCCCTGCTTGTAGGCTCACTGCGTGGAATTGCATGTTTATTCATCTGCTTTTTATCATTGTAAGGAGTTCTGGTGGTGTAGTGGTTAAGGCATTGGGCTGCTAACCAAAAAGTTGTTTGAACCAACCGGTTGCTTTGCAGAAGAAAGATGAGGCAGTCTGCTTCCGGAGAGATAACAGCCTTGGAAACCCAATGAGGGTCACTATGAGTCAGACTTGGCTGATGGCAGTAAGTTTTTTATCACTGTAGCTCCAGGCTCTGCACACACAATGTGCCCTCAGTAAGTATTTGCTGAATGAACGCGTGAATTCTGGTGGAAGGGCTGTTTCCCAAGACCAGCCTGCTCAGTGGTTGAGGAATACGTGTAACACGTCCCTGACTTAATTTGTTATCAGAGCCTTGAAGGGCAGTTTACCAAACTGTGTGGTTATGTAATTAAGGTTCAGTGTTTCGAATCCGAGCCATCACTGTGGGCACTTGCTCGTCTTGTTATTTCTTTTTGAGCAGATGGTGTGATGGCTGGATGTCGGCAGATTCTCGGTCTGACTCGGCTGCACTTGTGGGGTGGTTTTTATCTGTTTGCAGCTCCTGGGTTTGTTCTCTGGGGACACCAGATGGCTTTTCACACCCTGAATACCGAGCCCTCCTGGGGCTGGGAACTAGGAAGCTGTTTTAAAGCGCCATTATCACTGCATGAAATGAAACATGGCCCCACTCTGTTCTCTTGCCAGGTGGAATTATTTTTTCCTTTACGATGGTTCGAAGGTAAAAGAAGAAGGAGATCCCACGAGAGCTGGGATTTGTTATTTTTATCCTGCTCAGGTGAGCCGCCCAGCATGGCGTTGTTCAGCGTGGTGACTTTTCAAAAGTGTAGAGTTGAGCTTGGGGCAGCTTTATTTGGATAACCGAGGCCTTTGAACTTTCTCCTGTCTTATTCTTGGTTGTGCTTTTCTTGTTCTGAGCTTGACACTCCCCGGTGGCTCGGCTCTGTCCACATTGTGCTTCCTTGTCTGCCTCACCCAGCCCCGAGGTCAAGAAAGCTTTGTTCCCGTGTGTGCAGAGGTGGCGGAGACAGGACACTGAGCCTCTCCTGGCCATCCGTAGCCTCAGCAGCCCAGCGCTGTGCTCATTTTCGCTGACCATCCTTGTTGGAATATTTTGAAGGGAAGTGGAGACATTGTTTCATCTCACAGGTGTGCACACCACAGGTGACATCTGTAGTGAGGAGGGAATTCTTTAGCATTGTCGCACCTAGGAAAGGAACAGTGATTAGTTTTATACCAAGTCCTCAAGAGCGCCTGGGACCTAGTGCATGTTTCAGTTTCACCCTATTTTCTTAAATGTCACAATTTTTTTTTCTTCCTCCCTCCCTCCCCTTCTCTTTTTTCACAGTCCCTGCTCCCTCCGCCCCCAGCTACTTCCATTACCTCTCTCTTAAAGCCTATATAATCCATTTGGTCATTTTGTGTTCTAAGTCTCTTAATTTCCAGTAGTTTTCTCCCACCCACCCACCCTTTTCTCCCACATGCCATTGAATTCTTGAAGAAACCAGGTCATCTGGGCAGTGGGATATCAGAACGTCCCCCATCGTGGATTCTGGGTTCAGCCATCTGCTTCCTCGTAGTGGTGTTTTAACAGTGTTCTACACTGGGTTGCCTTTAAACTAGTAGAGCCTTGATTTTTTTTTTTTTTTTATTGTGATTTGGGTGAAAGTTTATAGAGCAAATTCATTTTCCATACAGCAGTTCACATACACTTTTTCTCATGACATTGACTGCAATTTCCCACAATGCAACAGCTCCCCTCTCACCTCCTCCCCATAGTTACCTCTTCCCTGTGTCCTTCCCTCCATACACTCCTGCCCCCTGAGCTGTCTCCCTGTGCATACACAGCCCTTCTTTCTCCCATGATTGATCTCTCCAAGGAGTGTATCTACCTAATGTAAATGTGCAGCTCATATGCCTGTCTTTTGTTTGGCTTTAAGCCACAGGAGTGAGTTCCAGACCTGAAGGGTACCTGGGGAGTCTCACCAGGCTCTATCAGACCAGCAAACCTGGTCCCTTTTTTTTTTAATATGATGTTGAGTTTTGTTCCACGTTGTTCTCCCTCTCTATCCAGGATCTCCTACATAGATCCCCCTCTGAGTGACTGACAGTGGTAGCCGGGCACCATCTAGTTCTGGTCTCATATAGGCTGAGGTTGATCAATTTTTTAGGCAAAAAAATTGTTTTTAGGTGGTGCCTTGTCTGCATATTCTGTTGCATCACATGATGAGGCCCACTGTGTCTGGCGAGGCCCACCCTGCCTGGCAAGGCCCGCCCTGTCTGGCAAGGCCCACCATGTCTGATGAGGCCCACCGTGCCTGGTTGCCCCACAGTTCGCTGGTGCTAGGATTGAGCGGAAACTCTGTATATCCTTGCATCATGTGATGCTGCTCGGATCTGGCTAGTTGGGATGAATCCAGGCTGCTTGGGTCACTCTCCTGAGGATTTAAATAGGGGTGAAAGGCTCACGCTTCTATCACACATGGGCCTGTAATGTTAGGACCATGCACTAATGTGCAGTCAGTTTGTGTGTTCAAGTTTGTGTGTTCATGATGGGTATTTGCATGATACAATGTAACAGTTCAGTCCTCTGGGGCTGGAGTCTGCAAACCTTTTCTCTAAGGGGCTAGTAAACATTTCCGGCTTCCCAGGCCACATAAAGTGCCCTTCACATATTGTTCTTTGTTTTTGTTTGTCTTTTTACAACCCGTGAAAAATGTCAGAAACGATTCTTAGCCCATGGCCCATATGAAAACAGGCTGGCTGCCAGCCCCTGTTCTGAGGACTGACCCAGGTAAAGAATTGCAGCTTCCTGCCTGGGATTTGCTCCTTTCCCGTAGACACTGCTTGACCGCCAGGAGTTGCTCTGTGGGCAGATCGCCGGAGTCGTCCACTGTGTCTCAGACGTTTCCGGCTCTCCTCCCACTCTCATTCGTCTGCGGAAACTGAAGTTTGCCGTAAAGGTCGATGGAGATTACCTTTGGGTAAGTTCAGCGGGCAGACTCTGTGCCCTCAGAGAGTGCCTTCCACGGGGAGTCAGTCGCCATCCTTGGTAGTAAGGGCTGTGACGATAAAGCTTGGACGGTGCTGCTTTCTTGAGTCCGGGATCGCTCCCCTGCCCCCACCCCGCTGTACTGTGTGCTCAGCGTCCGCTTCGCCTCCAGGGCCATCTCAGCAGGTGCGCCTCGTCCGTGCTCTCCCCGGAACATGCCGGCGCCTCCTAGACTGCTCCTGGCTGCATCCTCCTATCTTTCTGAAACACTTAGGCCAACCTGGGGACGTTCTATTTAGCCTGTGTTGCAAATTGAGTTTTTATCTCTATCTTTACTGTACTTTTCTATATCCTCCACCCTGAGTAAGTGACCCAGGAACTCTAAGACGGTGACACATGTATGTTAAGTTGCAAAGACCCTGTTCAAAGGACAACAGAAAAACAATGCCAAGTGTTTAGCAACGGAAGAATAGATAACCAAAATACGACACATACACACCAAACCAAAACCAAACTCACTGCCATTGACTTGATTCTGACTCACAGTGACCCCCATTGGGTTTCTGAGGCAGTAAATCTTTACAGAAGTAGATTGCCTCATCTTCCTTCCGCAGGGGAGCTCTGGTGGTGTAGTGCCTAAGGCACTTGACTGCTACCCAGAAGGCTGGCATTTCAAACCCATCAGCCACTCCTTGGAAGGAAGGTTGGGCAATCCACTTCCATAGTGGTACTGCCTCAGAAACCCAAGGAGGGGTCGCTATGAGTCGGATCCAACTCGACGGCAGTGAGTTTGGTTTGGTTTTTGGTTCCTTCCTTGGAGCAGGTGGTGGGTTTGAACCACCAACCTCGTTAGCAGTCAGATGCCTTAGATAGTCCACCACCAGAGCTCCTTACATACACACAGCGGAATAGTATTCAGCCATAAAGAGAAATGAAGTTCCGGTCCACATTATGACATGAGTGAACCTTGAAAACAGTGCCGAGTGAAGAAGTCAAGTACAGAGGAACAAATGTGCATTGTCTCGCTTTGGTGAACCACCTAGAGCAGGCAGAGACATAGACACCAAGGTTTGTTCGTGATTTCCAGGGGTAGAGAGGGGGCAGCAGGGAGGTATTGCTGGAGGGATACTGAGTTTCTGTTAAGGGGGATCAAAGTATCCGGAAATGGTGGTGATAGTTGCACACTGCGGGGAGTGTAATTAATGTCACTGAATTGTGCCCATAAAAGTGGTTGAAATGGAAAATTCACCACAGTAAAAATTATAGCTTATAGTACCAGATAATCCAAATTCCCTTTTCCACGCTTACATTTATGTATGTGTGTATGTATGTGTGTGTGTATTCATTCATTCATTCATTCTTGTACTTGTTTGAAAGATCCCTGGGTGGCCCAAAAGGTTTGCCCTCATCTACTGACCAGAAGTTTTACTTTTTACAGGCTACCTTTGTGCTCCTCAATGTTTTGGGGGTTGGTCTATGTTGTCACGTGTGTCGTAGTCATTCCTATCTATTGTTGAACAGTGTTCTATTTTCTGAAGTCCTATGGTCTGTTGAAAGGAGCTATGGTGGTATAGTGCCTGTGTGACTGCTAACCAGGAAGTTGGTGGTTCAAATCCACCAGCTGTCACGGAAGGAAGATGGGCCAGTCTACTTCTGCAAAGCCTTACTGCCTTGGAAATCCAGTGGGGGTCACTATGAGTTGGAATTGACTCGATGGCAGTGGGTTTGGTTTTTTTGGGTTATATGATCTATTGAGTCTTTCTCCTAATTTAAATGGACACCTGAGTGGTGTCAGTTTTAGGCAGTTATGAATAAGGCTGCTAGGAACATTCCTCTTATGTCTCTTTGCAGACATGTGCTTTGAATTCTCTAGGAGTGAACTTGCTGGTAGGCATCGGTACTCTGGTGGTGCAGTGGTTAATTCCTTCAGCTGATAACCACAGGGTTGGTTGTTTGAACCCAATAGCTGCTCTATGGGAGAAAGTTGAGGCAGTCTGCTTTCATACAGATTTACAGCCTTAGAAACCCTAAGGGGGTAGTTCTGCTCAGTCCTGTAGGGTCAGTATGAATTGAAATTTACTCAGTGACAGTGGGTTTGGTTTTTTTAGTTGGGTTTTTTAAGGAACTGCCATACTTGTTTTCCAAAGTGGATGTACTGGTTTACATTTCTGCAAAGAATGCACGAGCATTTCGGTCACTCCTTATCTTTGTTAACACTGACGTTAGTCTGTTTAATTGTTGCCGTTCTGGTGGTTGTGGAGTGGTATCTCATTGTGGTTTCAATTTGCATTTCCCTTATGACTAACGATACCGAGCCTTTCATGTGCTTCATGTCCATTTATAGATCTTCTTTTATGAACTGTGTCTTCATAGCTTTTGCCCACTTTAAGAAACATGTTTTTTTAATTGAGTTGTAGGAGTTCTTTACATATCTCAGATACCAGTTTTTGTCAGATACGTATTTTGTAAATGTGTTCTCCCAGCGTATGACTTGTCTGTTAATTTTCTGAGGAATGCCTTCTGATGAGCTTTGTTGTCGTTCGATGCTGTTGCGTTGGCCCCAGTGCACAGCGGCCCCACGTACAGCAAAGCAAAGCACTGCCCGCTCGTGCACCGTCATCACAATCCTTGCTGTGCTTGAGCCCAGGGTTACAGCCACTGTGTCGCACTGAGGGCCTTCCCCTTTTTGCTGACCTCTAGTTTACCAAGCGTGATATCCTTCTCCAGGGACCGGTCCCTTCTGATAACAGGACCAAAGTACAAGAGATGAAGTCTGGCCATTCCTACTTCTAAGGAGCGCTCTGAGACAGATTGGTGTGCTCTTCTTGCGGCCGTGGTATCCTGAGTATTCCTCGCCAGCACACAGTTCAAATGCATCAGTTCTTCTGCAGACTTCCTTATTCACTGTCCAGCTTTTACGTGCATATGAGGTGACTGAAAATACC